AGTTGCCAAGTGAGAGGTGGCGATCAAACGACCGCGTGGCATCGTGACATTGCAGCATTGACACTGGATGAGGTCATTCACTTGAATGGAGCGGATGCACTTACGGGCGTTTAAGAGGCCGTGGTTGCAGTGGTCACAAGACTGGACTTGCCAACCCTGAGGTCGACGGTTCGACCTCCAGGCGCGGCAGTGGAAATAATCAGATTTTTTTTTAAATGCTCCCCCCCCCATCCCTGTCCACCCAGCAGGATAAACTGATTTAATCGATCAGCACATGCCATGTGGTGGGGTAACGTGTGGGTGGCTCCCACCTCTTCCAAAGACGCCGGGCCTGCATGGAAGAAATCGCCACGAATCCCCTTTCAGAGGGGCTCTCTCCAGAGCGTCCCTCGAGCGGAGGAGGTCCCTTCCCAGTTTAACACGTAGACTTTCGCGACCAATGTTATTCATAATCAACGTTTTTGGGTTAGATCGCGTTACTTATAAATGTGTCGTAACCTTCCACCATCCGACACGGCCAATCAGTAAAAAAGTGTCACGTTGACAAAAGACAAATAGTTCACTGCTTTAGCCATCCAGTGTGTTGAAGCGTGAAACCACAACATTTACAATTTTTTGAGTACGACGTTTCGATGGTAAATGCATCCAGCATCATCGGGCAATTCTGGCGATCTAACCAAAAAACGTTGATTATGAGGTCCATTCCCGCTAGCGAGCAATTGCAGGGCTGCACCTTTGCCTTGAACCCTCAATGAGGAGGCCGTCCAAGGGCTGGGTCCCACAGAAGGTGGCGGCAGGGCCCAGAAACTCACAGCTGTTGGTGTCGTTGGCCAGCGCGACGATGCCCATGGGCTGCTGGCGAATGTCCCGGCGCAGCAGGGTCAGCTCCTCGCCCGTGTACTTGTTGGCGCGCAGCACGGCGCGCCGCACCCAGTCCGTCCAGAACAAGAAGTCGCCGTACACGGCCAGGCCAAAGGAATGCGTGGGCTCCGACTGGATGATCACCTGAGACGCACGGGGAGAGGGAAATGAAGAGAGGGACACGGAGGGAAGCAAGAAACGCGTGAAGTCATCTCTTGCGAAGCCTTGCCACTCCTCCATTGCCCATTCCCCTTCTTCTTCCCCACCCCACTGCATCCCGTCCCTCCCCTGCCCCTTTATGATCCCCATGTGCCCTCTGTGACGGTCACTCAATCCTTGGCCTTTGCACACCCCCCCCCCGCTCCTTTGCCATCGATAGCGCCTTGACTTAAGGCCCTCTCTAAATATAAAACAGGATACAAGGATTGGCTTCGACATGAAGGAAGCGAATAAAGATGGAGTGGCCCAAGGGATGGGACGTGGAGATGGGGAGTGGACCACTGCACTACGGGATCGTGGGAGCAGCTGTCCTCGGCCTGTGAAGGTTTTTTTTTTTTTATCCAGCAGTGAATTGATCATGGCTGACGACGATGAAAAAAGTGAGCGGAGGTTGAGAGCGGCCAATGCTTCCCGGAGTGCACAAAGCTGTAGTGTGCAGAGCTGGGTGTACAGCAGAGGGAACAGGGATTCATGACAATAATGATTTGAGCCAAAGTGCTCGCCACATCTTTACAGCAAATACCTTGAAGGTCTCGTCAAGGAGAATAAACAGTCAAACGAGCCGCAGTCATCTTTGCAGATTTCGGCTCACCATCGAAGAAAGACGGCCACTGCATAGTGCACTTTCAGATATGCTCTTACTTTTGATATTTGGAAGCCACTGGAGCAATGCACTGTTAAATCGTCATCTAGATTGAAAAGGCATTTCTTTAGAACTGCTTGTTGTGTTTGGTTTGTTGCCCTTTCCCCGCATCTCCGATTAGCACGGTTGGCTACGTACGGCGCTAAAAAAGTTCACCATACTGTACACGTACACAAGAACAGTAAAATGCTGTCCTTCTCAGGGATGGGGAGGGGGGGTTGAGGGACGGAGGGGCGTGATGGGGGGGCAGAGGGGGGGTGGGGCAGGGGAAGAACGCGGAGAGGAAGACGGCACTCACGTAGCGGTGAGAGCCATCGTACTCGCAGCGTTCGATTTTGTCGAGGGTGGCGTCAGAGAAGTAGATTTTTTCCGTGCGGTGGTCGATGGCCAGGCCGTTGGGCGAGCGGATGTTGCTGTTGACGATCACACGCACGCTGGAGCCCGACAGGGAGGCACGCATGACGCTCGGCCTCTGCTCGTTCCAGTTGGTCCAGAACATGAGGCTGCAAAATCGAGTGTGGATTAGCACCGCTGGCTATGTTTACGGTGCGAAAGAAGTTAAACGACATGCCACGCGGTGTGACCAGCGAACGCGGCGCACTCATGATGAAAGTGTCCAGCAGCAGCAGCGGCAGCCTCCGACAATTGATTCTGTAAAAATACGCGTTCGTTCATCACGGCATAATGTTAAACAATTACCTGTCACCTCCATTTTGTGCACTCATTAGTGAACATTTGGAGAGCCACATTTTAGTTCACTCGAGGCTACACGCTTTTTAGTTTTTAACCGAGTTAAATTACGTTTGCCACGCTAATGGCATTTCAGTCATCGATAATGCAATTATAAAAAAATCGCTTCATAAATACAACACATTTTTTCTCTCCAAATAAATAGCGCAAAGATTAGTGGAACAGCCTCGCGTGTATTTTTTTGTACGCCAATGTCAAGACCCTGCCACGGGGGTGATGCCACGACTCTGCCAGGCGTGACACCCACGACCCTGTGCCAGGCGTGACACCCACGACCCTGCCACGGGCGTGACACCCACGACTCTGCCACGGGCGTGACACCCACGACCCTGACCCGGGCGTGACACCCACGACCCTGCCACGGGCGTGACATCCACGACCCTGCCACAGGGGTGATGCCACGACTCTGCCACGGGGGTGACGGCGCGACCGGGTGCTCACTCGAGGCACTCGTCCATGGCGAAGGACCGCGGGTGGTCGTCAGGGAACAAGGTGACGATGGTCTCGCGCTTGAACGCCCCGTGCCGGGACTGATTGAGCGAGTGGCGCACGATGGTGGACGTGGTGTAGCTGGTCCAGTAGAGTGCGTCCCAGCCCTGATGGTACGCCAGCCCTTCCACCGAGCCAACGTCTACCAGGGTCGAAGGGGGAGGGGTGGATGATGACGTCAAAATCACATAAACAGGCACACACACAGGCCATATAAAATTGATGGGGGGTGGAGGGGGGTCACCTCCGATTAGCACGGTCGGCTACGTACGGTGCGAGCACCCATTAAGACCTGCATTTGCAAGATGGGGTGGTGTTATTAGCACCACACATGGCCACCTTCGACTCCCCGGGGGCTGATATTTATGCACGGCACAAGGTACTCACTTCACCTGACCTAGGAGAGGGTACGGAACTGGGCTAACTTGCATTTGAAGCAGAACCTTTCGTTATCCTGGAGAAATCCATGACAAAAATATATTATACATTGCCAGGAGTCAAACTCACAAAGAGGCACGTACGAGCACACGCACGCATACCCACGCACGCACAGATAGTTATGGAAACACGGAATCAGGAAAAGGCACACGCACATGAAAACAAACGTAACGGAACCAATCTAGATTTGAACGTAACAGAACCAGATAACAAAAGAGAGAGAGAGAGATCTCCCCCACAGCCATAAAAATGTTGGAACAAAGAAATATCAGCGAGCACCCCTTTAGGATGGCAACGTGCTCAAGTGAGTGGCGTGGTCAAGACCATGACCCTCGAGGTCGCTTCAGTTCAATGGCTGCATCAGGAGCTCGTTGATTTGTTTTCACCTCGTGCGGAAACATTTCACACGTACAGCGCTTTGTGTGATTTTTCAATGAAAGACGCTGTTATTAAAACAATAGATATTATCATCATTGTAATTACGATTTGTGATCGAGTCTTAGATAGGCAGAGAACAAGTTGAGATATCCACGAGTCAAAATAGAATCCATGGCAGGATGCTAATCAGTGCGCCTCGGCTCACCACAATAATATTATACATCCAGAGACAGAAACCCGCACGTCCGATTAGCACGGATGGCTACGTACGTGCGTCCGAGTGTAAACTTCACAGGAAGTTAATAGAAAAAGACTCGCGGCCCAAGGGGAGTGGGGAGCGTGGAGCTGTAAGACATCGACCCAACCAGTGGGCGTGGGCGGTGTTTGGACACATTTCTTGCGTAATTTGCGGTGCTGCGCGCTTGGGATTAAATGTCAAGAAACGGAGCCACACCGAGAGTCGCGACGCCTCGGCGTCTGCTTCGGAGGTACAAAGAACGCGGCGTCTCGTCAAAGGCTCTGGGAGGAGGGCCTGCCGAGGGCATGCGGGAACAATCGCGCGTCGCATCCTTCCTCCAATCCCTCTCCGTTCACAGTTGGCTTGTTGCTCAGCTGCTGTGCGAACCTCGTGAACATTTTAAACATTACCCGCGCTCAGATAATAGCACCTCCACGCGAGATGCATTCCCACAACCGTACGGATTGCAACCCATGTCATCTCAGTCAACGGTTACGACTTTCTTACAAGCAAATTGCGTTCAATAGTTTGAAGCCAGACAAATAATTTAAACACAAAAATTAACTGACAAGGCATTTTTTTTTCACATTAGCAATGTTCTCCAGCGAGACGGGCTCAGTTTCAGAAGCCTTTGCATTTTGAAAGCAACGCTGATAACAGCAAGAATGGACCTTTACAATTTGCTGAATATTTGACAAATTCCCAGCACAGACTCAATTAGTTTTAATAACTCTATGGACGGAGACGTTCCCAAAACAAGGGCCTTGTCAAGAAAAAAACTCATTTTAATGTTACGAGGGGAGGAAAAACAGCACGTGTCAAGGGGCGCACTCTCGAAGCTGGGGACTGGTACGGAGGACCTCCGGCGGGGGGGGGGGGGGGGCAGGAATAGATGACTTATTAAATCCTGCTGCATCCCACCACCTCCTGCCATGACGGGTGAACATCGGCGGCGGTGTGGAAGCGAACAAACGGCCCCCGACAAGTGTCGGCGCGGCTCCTTTGAGCGCTCGTCTGGCTGGCGGACACAGAGGTCTCGCGTTCTCTCGGCGAAATTTTGCCGTCTTTATTCCCACCGGTCAACACCGGTCGCCGCAAAGGTGGAAACAACGTTTGGAAGGAGTTGCTAACCGAGGTTTTACCCACGGGGAGAAACTACTGAAAGGCAAGTCGTTAGGCTTTAAAAGTTTTTTAATGTAGCTTCACAGGCATACGGGAGGTTACTCGTCAACGGGAAAAATAAACAGAACGGTGCCCGTTTATGGACAAAATCCGCTTGCAAGAGGGCAGTAAAAAAGGGGGCCAAAGTTCGCAATTTCGGCTCCGGCCAGCGGTGGACGAAGCCGAAGGCGAGCCAAGCCAGCGGGAAGGCTGTGGAGCAGCCACCGTCGCCAATATCGCCACTCGACCCCAAGCGCTTTGGGTGGGGGAGGGGGGGGCGCGGGGGAGCTCAGCAGTAAACCAGCCACCTCAGCCAGCGCAAGTGGGAAAAGCGGTGAGAATTTCACCGCCATGAATAACCAAAGTTAAGCAACAACAACAACAACAAAAAGGTGGTCGACTTTCAAGTTTCATCAGCGAGCAGTCAACCGACACCTGCACGGGTTCGACGATGGAGGGGACCAAAATGGCCATCGCGTCGTCGGACGCCAGCACTTCGGCACCTGCCGCCCACACGGCGGCGGCGTCCGGAGCCACGGCGGTGGCGGCGTCGGCGTCGTCGTCTTGGAGCGGCGTAGCGATCCCCACCCTGGACGCGGCGATCCTCGTGAGCGGCGTCTTGGGCCACGCGCTGGTCGTCGTCATCCTGTCGTGCAAGCGCCGGAAAGGGCTCAGCGGCAGCCGCACCGACGTACTGCTGCTGAGCCTCAGCGTCGCTGACCTCACCCAGCTCGCCTGCCTGCCGTTCAACTCCGCCTCCATCGTCCTGCACGAGTGGATCTTCGGCGCGGCGCTCTGCAAGCTGTTCAGCTTCCTGGCCACGGCGTGCACCTCGGCCAGCGTGTTCACGCTCACCGTGCTCTCTCTCAACCGGTCAGTCGCCACCCCCCCCACCACCCCGCTCCATGCTCCCCCTCCTCCCTGTGCTGCGCCGTTTTGTTCGGGAGCGCGCCAGAGTGGAATAATGCCTCGAAACGCGGTCAACTTATTCTAACATGGTAACACGCAAAAAAATAAGTCTGCGCAAAGTGAGAAGAGGTGAATCACTGGCTTGAACTTCTTTCGCACCGTACGTAGCCAATCATGCTAATCAAAGGTTGCGAACCGGCAGCTCGCCGTCACGGATGCCTCCTTACAGAGGGCCAATCCACGTCGTAGGAATGTAACATTTCCAGGAATGACTCGGGGAAGCTGAGATATTATTGCTGCTCCGTGGATCGTTTAAGCAGAGGCACTCTTCGTGATTTTGCGATTGTGCCGAGCGCCCTGACGACCAATGATGGCTTCGCAGGTACGTCACAGTGGCCCACGTGAGCTGGGCGTACCGCCTCTCGCGCTCGTGGGCCACGCACGTGACCATGCTCACGTGCATATGGCTCCCGGCGCTCGTCATCGCTCTGCCGCAGCCCATCTACAACAAGCTGCACGTGGAGCCCCTGTACTGCCTGGCCATCCACATGGTGGACAACGGCAGCAGCCACATCGCCTACGCCTCCGTTCTGTTCGTCAGCTGCTTCGTCCTGCCGCTGCTCATTATCAGCTTCGCCTACTGCCGCCTCGTCTGCTACGTGAACAAGCGTCGGCGCAGCCCATCGTGCGAGCTGCGGGCGTCGCGGGGCCCCGCCTTTGACAACTACAACCAGCGGCTCACCGTCACCGTTGTCCTGCTGGTGGTGGCCTTCGTGGTGTGCTGGCTGCCGTCGTACGTGGTCATGTACCTGACGGCGCTGGGCAAGCAGTCTCAACTGAACTTTGGGACGTTCATGTTGGCCCGCCTGATGTCCTTGACCAGCCTGGTGATCAACCCCTTCATCTACGCGTTCCTGTCCAGGCAGTTCCGTAGAGACCTGCGGGAGGTGTTCGAGAGCGGCGCGAGGTGCTGGGTGTCTCGGGGAAACGACGCCAGGGTCAATCCCTGCCCATGCGCAGACATTTGCGGCGATATAGCCTAGCGGGTTAGGAACGCTCGCCCGCTTGTTGCGAAGGCACGCGAATGTTCAAAACGTCAGCCGCCCTGGCGGCTGACCTCGGCAAAGCACGCCGCCTGCTTCACGGCGGGTTTCGAAGATCCCGTGACATCATTGACGAGAGCAGGCCCTTGTATGCCAGTGTCGTGTGGCTCGAATTTGTGAAGAGATTTACCAGCAATTTACTGGAATAAAAATATGCAGGGCAAATCGTCGCCACCGACTTGGCAGGACCATCCTTTAAAGAAAGTGACGATAGTCTCTTTGAGGCTTTCGTGGGTAAATAACCGTAGTAGTAATAATAACAACAGTACATTTTTTTATCCAAAAGCCGGGCACTGATCCTCCATTGCGACCAAAACAATTCACGGAATAAAATGTTAAATCATTCTTCACCCGAGGCTCCCACCTCAGCGGCGTGCACTTTAAACGCTGTCAAGCTGAAGGCACGGGGCGGGTGGGGGGGACGGTGCAGCAAATTCACGAGACTCCATCGATGCGGCTAATTACGGTCTCGTGAAGGCAGAAAACGGAGCAGAAACAATTCTCATCCGCCACTCTGTTTTGGCAGGAAAAACAAAAAACCTGCGGGGTGAAAGGATATTTTAGGCATTTAAATGAGACGGGACATTTTTTTCTCTCTCTCTCGTAGCGATGATTGTTTATCTCCCGAAATGCTGCTTGGCGACATCACCGCAAGCCCACGGTTTTGCTGCCAATAAACTCATAAAACGGACGTCTTTAGTGCCATCTGCAAATGTTCTGCCTCGCTTGAAATGAACATGCCAGCAATTCATTTGTTAAATGAGTTGGCGTTTGGCTTGATGGCGGGTTTCAATACGGCGGGCGCAGAAATTCACCGATGTGCAAATAATGATCCATCAAGATCGTAAAGAGCAGGTGTTAACACGATCCCGCAGCTGGTAATGGCAGTGGCAGTAGACACGCAAGCACACAGACATACATCAAAGCTAAACCAAGTTAATTGCGATAATCTATTCTCACACATTTGCATATATTGCTAAGAAAAAATATTGAAATTAAGTCCGCGTAAAGATTTGACAAGCCTGCCGGTTATAGGTTTGGACGTGCAGAAAATGTGCCAAATAATTTAAATTGTTAGTTCATTACCGACGCGATTGTGTGTTTAGCCCAATTATGCCAACATTGTTACACGAGGCTTCCTGAATGTCCGTGTTTGTGCGAGAAATTACGTGAGGTGTCGTACCTGTGTACGTGATTGCTTAATCACACCACGCGTTTATCCACACAGACATTAATAACTATCACACGAAGCACATTTTGATATAATTACTCTGAAATAGATGATGAATTTTGGTTTTATGAACAAAAAGGGCCAACAAAAACAAACACCTTGCAAGGGTGCAGTGTTGCATATATATATACACGGTCCGTCACTTTATTATGCAAATTCTGAAGGCGGGAATCCAATTTCCCCAAATTCACTTTAAATTTTTTATTCCATTACGGCCAAAGCCGTTGAGGCTCGCATTTACACGAGGTTTCTCTCGCAAAAAATGTCGGCAGAGATTGATGGAGGTGCACGCAGCTATTTACGTAATCTGCCTCCTGCCAGAAATCTCTGAAGAGTCCGAGGCATCGTCAGAAAATCTGTTGGGCCAGTTCCTTTTGTTGACGCCCCACTCGTGTTCGATTAATCGTCGCTCGCAGCGAAAGGCGAGCGCACGCGCTCGGAGCAGCTCTGCCGAGCGCCGAACGCCGTTGGCGGCCAGGTCAGGCATCTCTGGATTCCTCATTCAGAGCCTTGTCGTGTTCCTGTTCGCCGGTGTCGTTCACCCTGTAGCTAGTGCGAACGTCTTTGGATGCGCTGCGGTTTACGGGGGGGGGGGAGAAGGGGGGGGTGCCGCTCGCGATGTAAACCGGACGCCCCTCGGCGGTCAATCCCATCAGAGAGACAGGACTCGGCGCAGGCTCCCGGGTGTCCAGGTTGAAGAAGCGTGTAATGGGAACTTGCACGACGGCAGGTTTCATCAACCAGGTGTGGCTAACAGAGTTTAGCAGCGTAAAATAGGTGGCACACACAGTTAACAGACACCCACCCCCCATGTGTGCTGTGGTCCAGTGCCTGTATCAAAAATAAATAAAGACTTTGCAACCTGTATCCAACACCCGTACTTTACTCAACAAACCTCTTCATTGCTTGACTTAACGCTTTCGCGACTACACGAAAGACCCAAATAAAACGCTCATTGTGCTTATGACTCAATATCGTGATCAGGTCGCAAGGGGGCGGGGGTGGGGGCAAGGTTACGCAATCCTGTGCCGCTCTATGTGGCTTTGCTGTTCGGCAGTTCTTGCAGAGCGAAATATTGCCACGTCACGCTGAACACCACGTGGTGCAATTCATCACACGTCACGCTGAACACCACGTGGTGCAACCCATCACACGTCACGCTGAACACCACGTGGTGCAACCCAACACACGTCACGCTGAACACCACGTGGTGCAACCCATCACACGTCACGCTGAACACCACGTGGTGCAACCCATCACACGTCACGCTGAACACCACGTGGTGCAATTCATCACACGTCACGCTGAACACCACGTGGTGCAATTCATCACACGTCACGCTGAACACCACGTGGTGCAACCCAACACACGTCACGCTGAACACCACGTGGTGCAACCCATCACACGTCACGCTGAACACCACGTGGTGCAAACAATCACACGTCACGCTGAACACCACGTGGTGCAACCCATCACACGTCACGCTGAACACCACCACGTGGTACAACCCAACACATGCGTCGTCACGGAGCGTTGGTACTCACTGTCGATAACGACCTTGCGCTCCGTGCCATCCTCGTACACCTGCTGGATGTTCGCGAAGTGGATGTCGCTGAAGAAGATCCTGTGCCGACCCCGGGCGGAGCCGGAGCGCGAGCGGTAGTCGAAGGCGAGCGCGATGGCGTTCTTCATGTGCTCCGCGTCCTCGAAGTTCCGCACGGGGGAGTTGAAGTTGCGCTCGTCGAAAAGGTGCACGCTCTTGAGCACGCTGCGCTCCGAGTAGAGCAGGTAGGCGTCGTGGGCGTCGCACGAGACGCCGTCCGCCGCCAGCAGCCCATGGGCGCAGGCGCACGCCCTCCGCCGGGCGCCCCGGTACAGGCACAGCTGCGCGCAGCCGCCGTTCTTCACCGCGCACACATTGGTGCCTGCGGTCGGCGGGGAGAGAGAGGGGGAGAGGAAGTGGCGCTAGCGAATCGGAAAAATCGGAATCTTTCATCTGGACCTGGACGGGGGAATCTAATGAGCTCGCGAAGCTCTTTTTTCGCAGACGTCCAGAGTGGACGAGCATCAGCAAGTGACGGTGTGAGGCAGCTCAGGAAGAAGCCTCTTTAACAAAGGGTCTGGCAATAACGACTGCGGTTGCATATTTCCTCGAATGAATGGGGAATTGCAGTGGAATTGTCATTGTGTAATCGCAGTTAACTTTGCTGCCGTCCTCGTAATTATCATTTACCGCGGGTGTGAGTTCTGGATCTGGGTTACAAACCAACTACAAAATCTCGAGCTTCTTTGTCTGTCTTGAGCAGCTGCGCGTCGCTGTGGTCAGCGCTTGGCTCATCACGAGAAGGTTGCGAGTATAACGTCTGTGGAAAATCGCCGATGACTTGCCAATGGAAAGACTGGCCACTGCAATAGGGATTTTATTATTTATTTCCACCACTGGCTCAAGTGCTTGAGCAGGGAGACCCTCTCGACTTAGACCTAGAGAGGTGGTGTATAAGCATTTGGCAATGAAGCACAAATAATACTTGTCAGGCTTCACCTTTAACTGCTTTGAATTTGAGCATTGCAGGCATGCTTTGCTGTTGTGAATTAAAATGTTCTCCATTGTGCCCGTATAGATGCGGATGTGCCATTTTGGGATGTTTTCGTGGCCGCGTTTGCGATCACCTTTCTGCCTGTCCCTGTTGTACACCTTCAGCTCGTTCAGCTGAGTGCCGATCCCGGTCCTCAGGTCCACCGCGTCTGCCGCGTTGTCCTTGCTGCCCCTCTTGATGGAGCCGCCGTCTTGCATTCTGCACGGCGCGGGACAGTCACGGCGACGAAGACGCGACGCGGTTTTAAGCACCTCCGATCAGCACGGTCAGCTGCGTAGGGTGCGAACGGAGTTCAACGTATGTACGTACGTTGTTGAATGGTAAAATGGCGGCCGGGCCTTCGCGAAGGGATGCCCGCCCTGCAGCCCCTACAACGGGACTTAGGCGTGGGGGAACAAAGGGAATCCGCTCACCGGTCACTCCAGTAGATGTGGCTCCCGAAGACGGAGACGGAGAACATGTCGCTGGTGGTGGCGACGAACACCACATGCCGGTTGGCCCCCGTCTCCAGGTCGACGCGCTCGATCCTGTCCTTTTGCCCATCGCACCAGTACAGCTTTCCCTCCTGCCAGGCCGAATCGACGAGTAAAACTCAAGCCGCTGCGGCGGAGGGAGTCCCAGATGCAATCCCCGATGCATTAAATCCTTCCCACCGTCGCTTCAATGGAGTTCGCAATCACTGGTCGTTAAGGCGGTTGCTTTTCGTTTGGCTTTCGACAAAGAAAGTGGTTCGACCGTCACGGTTGTCGAATGAAGGTTGGAGTTCGAGTTGTAGTGAAGAGGGAGTTGTTTCAAGTTGTCTAACGAGGAGATAACTACATTTAGCAACGCGGGTGATGAAATCAGCGGGGCGCTGTGAGGGTGCTTTCAATAATTATTTCCAGCATAGACACACACACACCCACACTCTGAAATGTGCGTGTTTGGGTAATGGGTCAGGATTTCACCAAAACAAAAATCGCTCACTCATCCATTTCAAACCCACGGGGAGCGGTGTCGTGCGCGTGAGCGGTGGGACTGCGGGGACCCACGTCGTAGTCGATGGAGATGCCGTTGGGCGACGCGATGCTGGAGTTCACGAGCACCATCCGCTCCGTGCCATCGAGCAGCGTGCGCTCGATGCGGGGGCTGTGCCCCCACTCGGACCAGAAGAGGTAGCTAACGGGGGAAAAACACGTCACGAGGGTGCGCTCACGCACACACACGTATGTACGTATGTTGAGCCTCTGTCGTGTGGGGGAATGACAATAAACTGAACACAAAGAAGCAGTTCTAAAGAAATTGGTTTTTAACCTAGATTTAAAGTGCATATCTCCAGTGGCTTCCTAAAATCGGAAGGAAGAGCGTTCCAGACGGCCACGGAAGCGCATCTGACAGTGACTGTCTTTGTTCGATGGCCAGCCAGACGCCGCTTCTGCGAGGATGACCGGAGTTTGCGTGATGATGGTTTATGCTCCTTGATGAGATCAGCAAGGTATTGTGGTTCATTTGTGGCAAGCACTTTGTGTGTCATGAGCGCGACCTTGTAACGCATTTGTT